CCCCAAAACCCCAAAACCCCAAAACCCCAAAACCCCGAACAAATTATGAATATTGAGTGAATTAAGAAAACTGATTATCCTGATTCCTCTTTAGCTTTATCAGACTCGATCTTGGCTCTTATTGTCTCCCAGTCAATTTGGACTTCACCCATATATTCCTTGAATCTCTCATTATCTTCTTCCTTCTTGCAGTCTTCGAGGTATTTCTGTCTGAAGGCAAGGACTGTGTCAACATGTGTCTTGTACTTGATGGCTAAATCTAAAGCTCTGTCCCATCTGAAAAGTTTGATGTTCATTTTAATAGCTCTGTAATATAACTTAGCTTGAATCAAGATCTGCTCAGCTTCATTTATCTTTTTACAGTACAGAGCCAAGGCTGAGTTCCTTGAAGCCTCACTTGGAAGTTCCTTAATATAGTTAACAAATTGCACTTTATCCACTTCATCGATAGAGGCAAGAGCAATCTCAGCAGTGTCGAGTTCTCTGCAGTACAAGCTCATAGCAGCGAGTCAAGCCCATAAAGGTTTATCATTGACAAATCTGCAGAGCTTGATGGATTTATCAAAGTCAGCACTATCAATGTGCTCATACATTATCTTAGCAAATGGAGGAACTGACAAGCAAGCAAGTGTTCCGTCTAGCTGTCTGACAGACACCATACTTCCTGTAAAGTTTACTATCTGAGGAAGTTTACCCACATCAGAAGCAGCTTTTACTGATCTGGCTTGGTCCATCAGATCCTTATCTACATAGATTGCGTTTGGGTAGAACCAGGTGATCAATTTTCCATCGGAAAGACAAGAGAGCATGTCATTGTTATCATTCCATTGGAAGCTATCAACCATGGTGGCAATCTTGATAACATCTGGCTTGTGTACCATTGTCAAGAACATGTCTCTATTCGAATCGACAAAGCACAACTTTCTTTCATTTACCATTTCAGTCTGGTTGAGTTGAAGGCTAACGATTTCATTCGAATTCTCGATATTTGAATTCAATGGTTTGCCACTCATTACATCAAAGAGTCTGATAAGCTTTGGGTTATTCTTATCAAGCAGGGCAATTACATCTGAGCTGATGGATTCAACCTTCATCCCTTGGAATTTGGGTGAAGAGATATGCTTTCCTTCATAATCATAGACATGGATATTTTGGGAAGCATCAATCAAAACTACATATTTTGCACCCTGCACAACAGAGTTGATTGGCTCCTTCACATCGATAATGTATGGGGAAGAAAGATGACCCAGATTGTAAATATATACCTGAGGAGCAGTAGATACAATAAGATGGTTGTGTCTCAAATTCAAATTAATTACCTTTTCGCTAAAGTCCAATTCTTCAGAGACTTCATTAACGTAATCATTAACTGTGATTTTATTATTTTCGTCAAGATCGACTTCGATATTTCCCCAAGTGAGGTGTCTATCAATGATATTTCCAAAGACAACATATCCATTTCCTCCTGCTCCAGCAACTACATTACCATATCTATCCCAAGAGAGCTTCATAAGGGATCCACCTTCATGCTTATTGAAGGAATAGCTCCATCCTGATTTATCACACAACCGAATCATTTCAAAAGATCCGACAGCAAAGAATTCTCCATTTGGCGACCATTTCACACTGGTGATTACATAATCGTAAGCTCCGCTTGTGAATAATTGTCTACCGTAGGAGTCCCAGACTCTGTATTTCCTGTCTTCACCTCCAGAGACAATAAGATTAGTAGACTGACTCCAGTCACAACACAGTACGATTCCATCATGGGACTTCCACGATGTTGGCTTCTTTCCAGGCTGAGTTGGAATCACAGTCAACTTACTCTCTGAAGCGTATAGAATATTATTATTATCTGGACTCCAAGCCACACAATAGATAGGTTTTGAAGAATTGACCAGTTGCGATCTCAGATCCCCATTCCTGGCCCAAATCTTAACATGGCCATCTTCGCCTGTAGAAGCAAGTGCAGCGCCTTCATAATTCCACTTGACTGAGATAACGGCTCCTTTATGTGCTTTCTCGACTCTTCCTTCAATTTTCTTATTATGGCTGGCAAACAGGATGGATCCGTCAGAGCATGCCATTGCAAGGAGCTCGCCTGCTCTTTTATTCGAGATAATCCAGTCGAAATCAATAACCGGGACGTCTATCTCAATAGCTTTGCCTTTATTTTCGCCTGTGATGTCCCAGATCTGGACGGTCATGTCGTCACTGACTGAGTAGAGCTCGTTCTCTGAGTTCCAGCAGACAGCCGAGCAGATGTCTTCGTGGATTTTTCGTTCCTCACGTTTCAGCTTAAGCCTCATATTTAAATTAAAATTTTCAAATTATTTTATGAAGATTGGGGTTTTGGGGTTTTGGGGTTTTGGGGTTTTGGGGTTTTGGGG